ATCTGTTCTACAATATAGCGGCCTTACATATATCTTTCAATTTCAGGCATCTTGTATGGAAAAAATGCCACGAGTGCCAAGTGGTGTAACGTTCTAATGCTGTCATTTCAAGTGGCCTGTACTGTGCCTAGCGAAGGCATCGAGTATACTCTTTAGCTGTGGCAGTATACAAAGAAAGTCTACCCCTATGGCTACACTGGATCCGGCGTTCGAGCTTGCGCGAGCGCGTAGGGCCTGTCGAAGGGTCTGGAGCTGCTTACAAGTCCCATCTCATCTGCAAGAATGCCGTTTCTGTTGGCCTTGTGCATGGAGACTAGCCAGTGGACTCCGCATTTCTGGTAGTCTTTGAGGCGTTCCCAGACCTCCTCGCAGTGCTGCTGCAGGGCCTTGGGAATGCCCAGAGACGTGCGGCAGTGGCAGCGGCCCTCCCCTATTTGCTGGCGGACTTGAGTTTTGCCCTCCTCCGTGGGGCCCCCCAGCTCTTCAACCAACAAGTCGGTCATGGCCTCCGACTCCTGCAGACACAACTGCAGCGCGTCGAGCGACTCCTCGTCGCTGTCTGAAGGCTCGCCTTCACTGGTGCTGCTGCTGCTGTTCTTCGTGCTGCGGCAGGCACTCCGTCCGCCCTTAGAAAGGCGCCCTTCGCCAGCAGCAGCAGCACTGGGCTGCTGCGCTGCAGCAGATGACTCGCCGTCGCTGCTGGTGGCCCCACACGCAGCAACTCCCCCCTTCAGCAATTTGCGCTTCTTGGAGAGAGTTTCCCCGGGCTCCTGTGCTGAAGCAGCTGAAGATGAACTCCTTTTGCTCGCACTGCTGCCCGACTTGCTGCTGCTCTTGCTGCTGCTGCTCTTGCTCCCGCTGCTGCCGTGACTCGGGCGACTCCGGCTCGCCCCGCTCTGCTTGCCCCCGCTGCTGCTCCCAAAGGAAAGCCAGCCCGAGCGGCCGCCCCCTCTGTCATGCAGGGAAGTTCCGCGCGGGGGGGGCGTTGCTGGCTCAGCAGCATCATCTGCAGCAGCAGCAGCAGCAGCAGCAGCTGGCCGGCCATCGGCGCGCGGGGCCTCTGCTGCAGAGGAGGGCGCAGGGTCTGAAGGCGCAGAGTCCTTCGCTGCAGGGGCAGAGGACGCTGCCGCCTCCTTCGCGTCCCTCACAGCAGCAGGAGTGGCAGACTCCGTTGCTGCTGCTTCCCCCTCTCTCTGTGCATCTTCTGGCGAGCGACTGTGGGGGGGTTTGGAGAGCGATGAGCTGTTGTCTGATGTCTGCCCGTAGGCAAAGCGCTGCCAGTCTATACACTCCACCGGCATCTCCTGGTTGCATGCACTCCGACCCAAGTAGCAGCAGTCCGCCAGATGTTTGCTGCGTGGCCAAGCGACTGACCCCCAGTCAGCAAAGGACAAACACCGGCCCCCAGCTACACGGAATGCCCTCCAACAGTCTCAGCTCCAGGAAGGAGTGGATAGCATCAGGGACGACCAAAAACAAAAGAAGCAACGCAATACTACCACCCACTATTCGTGCAACCTCCAAAGTGCAGGGAGAACGCCTCAGAAGCAGAGGGGGCGGTTAGGTGGCGGCAGCGTCAAGGTGGGCTGTGACTGCATATGGTGGGCGACTTTACTTCATTTGTGGCGCCTTTGCGGAAGAACAAAACATATTTCCAAAACAAAAGCGAGCTGTCTGTTTTTGGCAAAACTTGTGCCCTACAGATATTGCTGCAATGCTGCTGCCACCGTAACAAATCCAGACGAAGAATTCAGGGAGAGCCGCTGAGTTATCCCTGAGGCAGCGGGGAGCTGAGAGAGCCACTCAAAAGGGATACATCGAACGGTATAAAAAGAAAAAAGACAACAGGAGAAGCAGTGGGTTTCTTATTGTGAACTACAGCGCTGTTGCCGCCCTAGAGGTGGGGAAGTAGAGGCCGTTCCAGTGTAGGAAGTGGAAGGCCTGGAAAGGGCTAAAGGCGCCTGAAGACGGCCTTCACTGTTCGCTAGAGCCTAGTGCCTTTGTCCTGTAGGAAGACATGTTGCAGCAAATGCAAAGAGGTGAAGCAGGGGTCAGTCAAGTGGGGCCCCAGGGGCTGGGGCCACCTCCACTGCACAGGGGACTTGAGCTTTTTGCACGAAATGTTCCTCTAGAGAGACACCCGAACACTTATTTTAATGGTACTGTGTATGTTGATTTGCTTATTTACGTACGGAGGTGCGCCCAGGCGCTCTGCTTACGCTCTGTGGAGCTATGCGCAATCATCCCATGCCACTCTTGTTGCGGTGCACATACAGTCACTGGGGGAAGTGCTGCTTTGATTTCACATTGTTTCACGTACATTGAGCCTTAAGACATGTTTTCTCATGATCATCTGTTCAGATTTCACCATCACGTTCCTGGCGGTGGTAATGCTCGTGCTCCCTGGCACCTCAGGGCGCAGAAAGTTATGGCGCCGCTTTCACGGGTTAGTGAGCTGTGGAGCTGTGAAGTGGCCGCAGTGTATGAAGTAGTAGGGGCTTTTAGCACTGTAGTCGTGTCGTCGTCTTGTGGGAGAGGCTAAGGTATTGCCAAAAAAACAGCAAATGTGGCGCTGGCGAAGCAGGACGGGTTACGTATGAAACTGTTGTTTGCTGGTTTTGCTTCTGAGTATCTGTTGTGCCGTATATTTTTGTGTGCCCTGTGCCGCTGCGCGTTTCTCCTTTTGGGGGAAAGAAATAGCTGAAGGGATCCTAGGAAGGAAGTACAAACGATGCTTTTGGAGGAGTACCAACTGCTGCAAAAGTGTGCTGGTTGCCGAAATTGCCTCTGCTTCTGACGTTAAGACAGCGCTTGGAAGTGTGGGGATTTCGAAAAGCAGCAACAAATGATATTGTCGATGCGGTATTAGCTTCTAGAACATGCTGGTATCCAAGTTTACCGCCATTTTGTCGGCATGAAAAGCGCCAGGAAGTTCCAGGCGCCAGAAACGACTTTATTTGCTTCATGTTCTTACCACATGTGACGTTTCTGTGGTTGTCAAGAAGTGCATGCTGGAGATTACTGCACGTGTTTAATCGACATCTGCTGGAGAATATTACATGGCAGGCTATTCTTGCACAGCGTTCTCATGCATTCTTTCAAGTAATTATTTCAAAATAGTATCTTATGTTGAACAAGCACTGGCTGTTATTCCATACACGCGCTGGTGCAAGGAAGTGATTTGTTTCTCGCCTTTTCCGATGGCAGTCCGATGGCAGCCAATCTGCTTTTTAGTGTGCTTGGCGTAAGGGGAGAGGTAGCAAAAGACAAACCGGAGAATAAACAGGTTTGGGGGATGTGAGAGAGCCACGAGTTGGGCAGAGTGGGCGAATTTTCGTACTAGGATCTTTACTTGAAGCGCAACACACACACCCGCGGTGCAGTATCTGTAACTGCATTATTAACCTCGCGGTTGAAGGCACTCAACCCTCAATTGCGGGGCTACCGTATACATCTATTCCCTTAACGGGTTGTACAGAACAGCGAATCTGACGAGTCCTGCACAATGCGCAATAATTTTGGTGGGTGGCTGTCGGTTCTTTGCCATCTGGTCGTTACCAGTTATAGCTTGGAGCTTGAGAAGCCGCTAAATTACGGCTGACTGCCAACGAGATCCTGTGTGGCGCAGAAGCTACGCTGGTGCTTCAATAGATGTGTGTACCTCGTTGCTTGCTGTGCCTTGCAGTCATACGTTTTGGTCTAAAATGCTCAGAGCGCTCGAGGATGTGCAGAAGGGCCAAAGAGATAACTGTGCGCCTTTGACAGGAGCAGCGCCCGTTCCCCTCTTTTCGTTAATCTATACCTGCTTGGCCTTTTGGTCATCTCAGCGCTGGCGGCACACGGACGCACAACTGCGAAGGCCCGCAAAAAGGGCAACTTGCAATGCCAGTGTAGGTTGCGTGTCCTCTTAATCAAAAGCTTCAGTGGGCCTCTGTCTAGCCCGTAAGGACAGGACAATAAGCGTGCATTTTCTGCAGCAAATTAGTTTTTACGGAAGGTGACGCGGCAGACTAGGAAAGAAAGACGCAAAAGCGACGGGGTATGAACTTTTGTACCAATATACCAAACTGACGGGACGACTGTGAAAAGTTAGGTAGTCAGAAATGTAGGAACATCCCCTGACACAGTATGCAACGAGCAGAAAGCTACTGTCGTTTTTCTCCTTGCAAGTGCTCAACAAGCACTTCCTTCCTGTTGCAAATGTGATAAGCTCCGTCTGAAGACGGCGTTTCCCCAATGGTGCAGCTTGCGAGTTGTTCGCTCCCGGGTGCCAAGAAACCACAACTGAAGTGCTCTGTTTAGAGGGCACAACAATGCGAGTTTGTGCACAGCACATTCACATGACTTACGCAGCAAACGCAGTTTGTTTCTTCCAGGTCTCTTGTCATTGTTCTTAGGTTTATGTTTAGGTAAAGCTCAGGACTTTCCCCTCGCGCAGTTCTGTGGCTCCTCATGCAGCTCCAACGAGAAATTTATGCGAAAATCCCAAATACACTAATCGTCCGGGTTTGACGACTCAAAATCTAGCGACTCCAGCATAGCATTCCACCATCGCAACGACTAACAAACCAAAAGTGTGCGCAATTAGTGACGCAGCGTTTCCGCAACGCAGCAGTGGATCTATGTGCGCTGAACAGGCATGGCCGAAAACCACACACGCGTCCACCGCTATGGCGCTCCAGTCCATTTTAGCAGAGAAGTTATTGGAACTAGCCGAATACATTTCGTAACGATACTCGGAGACTCGAAAAAAGAAGCAAAGCGTTGCAGCTGCCTTTGCGCGCCTGATATGCAGCAATGCACTTTGTAAACGGCTCAAGGCACGCGATTTCGTAATTGTTCAGTGAGTGCCAAAATACTTAAGGCTCCAACTACTGGAGGACAAAAACATGCCTTTGTTTATCTCATCTTTTGAAAGTGGCTCCGCACAAGTGCTCACTCCTGTCTAGAAAGCTGCAATTCTTCAGTTTCTAGAGCAAAAGCTAGTCCACTGCTCTGGCCTACATGGCAAACCGGAGAGACCGGCGGGGGCTCTCATGTGGCCTGGCGGCGTCAGCATCATCACGGTCGTGAGCTGCTTTGCCAGATGTCCGTGAATGGTGCTTGTGTGTATGGGTAGAGGAGCCGCCATAAACACCCCGCACCCACCGTCCTACGCCACCCCAGCCTTTAGACTTGCTACGATGCCTCCTGCTGCCCATACTCCGCTCGCCCGCTTCGGTCTCTTCGTGCCCTTTGTACCTGCTGCGGGGGGGAGTTTCATTCTCCTTAGTAACATCAGTCGATACTGGAATCGCTGTTGTCTGAGAAGGACGGCCGTGGCATACAGTGCTGCAAAAACGTCGCACAACTTCGCGCTACTAAATGAGTATTAGCCTAAAACGCCTTATCCCTGTGTAAGGTGGCTTAGTACGTGGCTATCCCAGCAAAAAGAATTCATAGCGTTTCGTGCCGTTTTTCGGCCGTCTTTAGTCTTATTTTGGCGCTTGCGTAACCCCTTTTACCTTCTGCGGTTCTTTTCAGTCGGGTCTACGGATGGCCCATAATTCGGAGAATCCTGCTGTTTTGCCAAATGCTCAGCACCCGCAAGGCAGCTGCCGTCAGCGTCGAGCATTACAAGGAAGTCACTGACTCTGTCAAGCATATCCTCTCCGTCCTACAACGCTCCAAACAAGATCCAACCTGTTGCCTTAGGTGCCACAGCAGACCCACAGCTCATTACTCACGGGCCTACTCTTGCGGTGGTTCGTACTCAGAACGGTTTCGACAGTTACCTCCAGAGTAATCTCATTTTCGGAGACATACTGTCGAAGACAGTCGAGATCTGCTTCGAGCACTTCTAACTCATCTCGTTCGTAGCAGTGGCCTCCATATCCCCACTCAACCAACAGCAAACACCACGCCTAAGCAAAGCAACGCCGCAACTACTCCTTATGCATCATTGACTATGTATGTATATGATTAAACACACATAATCACTGATGCGAAAGAACTGGACACAAGCACCCTATGATGAAGCTACTGCTACGGGATCGTTTAACGCACCTCCACAAGACTGCGTATTACAGCAGACGCAAGCTCATCTTGCCATTCCAAAGGAGCTGCGCAGAAGAAAGCCTCAACTGTCTGAAAAGAAGCAAAGAAACGTGTGGGAAGGATGGAAAAACTCGACGCCAGAAGCAGTCACCCACATCTGGACACGCTGTCAACTAGTCATGAGTCATCATGCAGACGCACATTTGGAAAGGCCTGTAGCAGCCGCGAAAGAGTCATCCCAGAAAACGCATCTTCTCCAGCGTACATGTTCCCGAATATGTCTCCCTGCAGCTCGTAATATACCAGATGGGCCGCTGCCAGGCTGAAGAAGACCGCACAATTAAGACACAGCCATAACAACATCATACGCAACAGAACTCCAAACAACAAGACAGAACACCAGCAGTTGCTAGAGAGCAGGCCGCACCCCTGTTTATGTGTGTTGTCTCCTTTCATATTACTTCATCTTAGAGGACAGTGGCAACAGACCTGCAGAGCTCTTTGGCAGTTTCTTGGAATTTTTGAGTAACAGCTTCAATGGCATTGTCAACAGCAGCATTAACCTCCTTGAATTCTTCCAGCTGTAGCAGTTGCAGCGGATCACGCGAGGAAGTCTGGGTTACGCCGTTGATTCCTGCGTTGTCGCCTCGGCCTTGTAGCTTTCGCAGATGCTGCACAACCTCAACATCTCGAGGGCAGCGGCTGACGATTCTCTTCTTCGCTTCGTTAACCAGCTTCTCACGCAATCCCGGCAGACGCTGGAGGTAGAGCTCCACGATGTGAAGTCGGACTAGCCAGCGTTGCAGACCGCTGGTTGGCCTCTGGCCTGCTGTGAGCGCAGCTTTCTGTCGCGCTGCTTCCCAGTCTGTCAAGGTGTCAACTGCAGCTAAAAGCTGAGTCACAGTTGGGCAAAGCCTATCTAAACCCTGTATAAAAGGACGGAGACCCGCGAAAGCGCCCCCCGCTGCATCTGCATCGCTCCGCGCTTGCCCTCCTCGCGTGATCGAAGATTCCCTGCTATCGTTCTGTCCAAAAAGAAGACGGAAAACAGATCGACTACGGCCCTTATCGTCTTCTGTGGGGCGTCCAGTGGTGCCCTTAGGCGGCTGGTGGGCAGAAGTCCCTTGGTGGTCCGTGCTGTCACCGCTGTTGTCATCTGATACCAAAAACAAGACCGCCAGAAAGAGACACAAAAGTCACTCAGCGTCTTCGAACATCTTACAATTACAGCAGTCTAAGATACACTGTCTGGAGCGGCGTTTCTGCGCTCGTGAGTGAAGACTCCAAAAAAGTGACGGTAGGTGCACATGAGCAGTAACAAAAGCCTCACCTTCCACGCCTGAAAGATACGCAGAACCAGCACGGGACAAACCCTGTTGAGGGTTGCCGTCCTCCCAACCACCAACGAGTTGCGTCATTCGACCTTTCCAACTGCAAATACACTCAAATGCAACAACACCAGTCACTACAACTTTGCTGCTGAAGGCATTAATTTCCTCTGTCTTATCGAGAGGCTTTCTCTTAGGAACTATTTGACGGCAAAATATAGTGTGGTATAGAGACGCGCGCACTAGCGTAACAAACGGACGCAACAACTGTGAAGAAGATATTTGGTGTCCTGCGAGAAAGAGACTATAAAATGCAGCCCTTGACAAAAGTGCCCATCAGAAGTACCCTTTAGACTTCCTGCGGTGCTTCCTGCTGCGTTCCTCGGATGTCCGCTGTAGCGCTAAAAAGTGAACAACGAGAGGACATTCAGCGAACGCCGCTTTGCGTCCACGGATGTCAACTAAACTCATAAAGCAGGACTGCTGCAGTTGTCTCAGGGCCAGAAGAGGGAGCATGGGACGGCCGCCCCACGCCCCTGGCCCCTCGTTTTGCGAGATGCATGGGTCAGTGAGACTGCGGCAAAGGGAGGCGAACAGCTCAGAGAGGAACTGCAGCAGACGAGGGATAAGCCTGCGAAAACAAGGTGACCAGCACATCAAAGCAGTAAATGCGACGGTAGTCACCGACTCGGCAGGAAAATACAATGCATCGAACACATTCAAAAGTAGAGGCACAGCGCTGATGGAAAGATAGGGCGCTATGTCCACCTGCTTCAAGCAGTCCAAGTACGAAAAAATGCCAAGATGAAGGCATAATCATTCACACATTCACAGAGAATGCATACGAAATACATTCAGGCACTGGGAGGGGAAAAATGGGACGCCAGCAGACCAACGAAGTGGTAAAAAGGAGTCGAGTGCGGCTTCCACCACTCCGTAGATGCAGCACCACCCGTCTATGGCATTTTCGCTGTAGACAGAATGGGGAGGGTTGGCAGGCAAAAAGACGTCTCTGAGGAATGCCTGAGACAGGATATCTGTCAGATCGCTAAGATGGAGGGAAAATGAGGCAAAAAAACGTGGGGCCAAAGCTGAAACGAGACCCCTCTGCGAAGCCTCCTTGTCTGAGGGAAAGGTGACGCAGAGAACTCCTCCATAGCACAGCTGCACCAGAACGCACAACAAGATTGGGACAAAGACAAGCTTCCTTCATCGTCTCCCCAGCGCAGGCGGCTGATGAATGCATTTGTTCTGTTCCCGATCAATGTCCTACACTTTTTTTGTATACCTCGTCTGCAAGACGTTCGAAAGCAGAGAGGGCAGCCAGTACGTCGCGGCCTCCCTTGGCTGGAAGTCCCCTCCTTTCTGGGTTTTGAGCAGCTCTTTCGGCACAGCGAGAAACAAGAGAGATGACACTGAGCAGCACCGATTTAGCTGCCGCGAGGACAAGCAGTGCATGCTCCCCACGAAGAGGCAGCAGGGGGGAGAAGATGAAAGAATAGAGAAGAAGTTCGGAGTGTATATGGCTGAGGAAACGGTCGATGCCTTTTGCCAAGGCACTGAGGACTTCATCCTCCTCCGCTTCCTCTTCTGCACCTGAAGTAGCACGCTCCCCCGCTCCTGCCTCCTGCTCCTCCGCAGCGTTCATGTCTCTGGTAGCTGCGTCGCGAAACGCTCCCTTCTCTTCGTTAGCAATCTGGACTAAACGCAACATGTGCCGGCCCAAAAGTCGACCCGCGGCCGCGGAAAGCGACCGGTAGACGAAACAGCGCAACATGTCATGCAGTGCCGTGGGCCCCTGCACCAGCCGGTGCAGCATCCACACCCATGAATTATCGGCTGCGACTTCATTCACCTCTCTATCAGGAGCCGCTTCCCGATCCTGTGCTTGAGTGCTAGCCTCGTGCAGGCCAGCTCCATTGTCAACTGCGCGCTGCAAGACATCCCGTGTCCGCCGAACCCACTCCTCAGGCACCTCGCTGCAGATACCACAGGACCTCCCTCCTGCCGTCTGGCCTCTCCCTCCAACAGTAATCTCTCGATGCTGCTGCTGCTGCGCCTGTGGCAACACTAAAAGCCGCTGCACCACGCTACGCCACAATGCCAGGGCAAGATGCAGGCCCTGTGGCTCGAAGTGTCTCCTGTAGTCCTGCAGCTGCTGCTGCAGCTGAAGCAAGAAATCTGATCCCAGCAACTGAAGGGCGGCGATTTCCTGCTGCTGAAGCTCCACACGAGACGGCAGCAAGGCCGAGAGACCGTAACAACATGAGGCCCATTGACTTTTGCGCAGAGCTGAGGTCGGGAAGGCACACGCACACGCAGCGAAAACAATACTGAGGCAAACACTAGATCCCACATAACACGAACCAGCAACGTGTTTAAAAGCAGCGAGAAAATAGATAAGCATGCTAGTAGCTGCAGAACCACTAAATGTCTGCTACAGCTGTTCAGCTTGTCCTACCTAGTGGCTCCCTTACTAGCTAAAAGTCTGCATTTCCACTGAATGTCTGTTACAACTGTCCAGCCTGTCCTCCTACTAAAAGTCATGGCTTCCTGCGAGCTATTTCAGGTGTTTTAAGATTCTGTACAGTTGTTCTTTGCCCTACCGCGGTGTTGCTCTCCTCTTCCCCTATTGCTGCTGTTCCTGGCGACCCACCAGTCCGCGCCAAGCCACAGGCGGTTCGTTAAGAAACCCGAAAAAGTAGGTATAGGCTGAGCAGACAGGGCCCCTTCTTTCTCGGTGCCTTCTTCATCCCTCTCTAAAAGTGAAGAGCGCAGAGATAGCAAAAGCCGCTCCCCCCGCACACGAGACAACTCCATTAGATCCAATCCACTCGAGACGGATTCGATCCCTGCTGCTGCAGACGGTTTGCCATCTGTGCCCTTGTCCGGCTTCCGCAACACAACCGTGTACCCCGTTGCGCTGCCAGCTACCCGAGCCCCAGACCGGGGCGACATTGGCGCTATGCTGTTGCCCCCAGAAGCTGAAACGGAATCACCTGGGAAACCTTCTGCATGCACAGCCGCAGCAGCGACAGGTGCATCGATAGCTGCAGACGTTTCTAGTTCCCGATCGTCTGTTTCCTGGACGTTTCCAAAAACCCATCCCACTTCATCTGCTATCTCATCAATGCCCGCCGATGGCTTCTTAAGGAAAGTTCCGAAGTCGCTCAATAGCTCTAGGGCTGTAGATACAACCTCAACACGAGCAGGCTGCACGATGCTCTGGGTGACAGACATCAACTGCTGTATCAGTCGCTGCTGCTGCTGCTGCTCTGCAGTGAGACTACAGTCAGGTCGGTTGGGAGATGTATGAGCCGAGGATTGAGCTACTTCGTGCTTTTGGACCGTCAAATCTGTCAACTCAGCCGAACCATCTGGTAGCGGCGTCAAATGCTGCTGCTGCTGCTGTTGTTGCACCTCATGGGAGCTCAGAGAGGAGTTGCTGCTGGTCGCCCATACGCAGGCCGCAACGAGAAGAGATACGGAGTCAAGAGATATTCCTGGGAAACCGCTGCCTGCCCTTGTTGCCTTCAGAAGCAGCACTGCAGGGTTACTGGTACTGGCATGCTCATCTGCAGATGGGCAAGTGGGGTCAGTCCCAACTTGAGCCGCGTGAGCCACCAGCAGCAGCCCCTGCACCAGCGCGGGAGCGTCTAGCTGCAGGCCGTTAGTGCTGGTGCTGTCTGCGCAGCAGCGAGACAACAGCAGCAGTAAAGAAAGCAGCAAAGGAACGTCCATGCACCAGTATGCGCAAAGCTGAACTTCTCTCGGAAGGCACAAGAGCTGTCGCTGCTCGGCCCCGTCAAGCATGCGGGTAGCCGCAGTTGCAGCACCCGTAGCAGCTGCACCACCCTCTAAAGTGCGCAGCGTCCTCCGTCGCAACGCCTTCAGCGTGGGTCTCCGGAAAGCAGACCGCAGAGCTCCCTGCAAGGGACCCGCTGGCTCTCCCTGCTGAGTCGAAGCCCCTCTCCCCTTCCCCGCCGTCTCTACGTCCGACCCCCAGACGCCGCTGGCTGCAGTCGACAGCACACACCACACCACAATGAACCACCCCACTTCACGCTCATAAAGGCTCTCGTACCACAGCCGCCCTGAACGGGAGTCCTGGGAAGACAAGAATAAAAATCTAGGGCGGTTACAATCTTGCTGCGGTAAGCTTGCGAATATGGACTGACTGCTAAAGGCCCCAAACTACTTCGACTCACCGTCTGAATCTTCTGTCGTTTCCCCGCAATCACTACGGGGATCAGGCACCTCCAAAAGATTCCTAACAGGTTTCAGACTCTGCTGCCGCCTCGGCTGCTGAGGAGATGCTTGTATGCCCCCGTTTGAAACGGTGAAATCTACGGTAGAGAGCCGCTTCAGAGTGGGGTTGTTGTTGCTTCTAGCTGCGAGTGTACACCGCAGAGCTGAATCTAGAGACGCTGCCTGAGACATGCTGTGCTCCAGCAGCTGCAGGATCTGTAGCCCTCCCCTGTCTCGATGCTCCGTCCGCACCTCCCAAGTGAGGGGGGACTCAGCTTCTCCCGTTCCTGCGGAGGCCGCAGAGTAGTCAGTGACGAGTATAGAGACCTCCTCTATTCCAACAGAGGCTTCTTCATCGCCCCAAAGCTGCCGCCGGTGCAGTTGCTGCAGAGCAAATATGTATGCAAATATGTGGTAGAAGCAGCACAGCAGGCGTAGGGGCAGCAACTGCAGCTGCGCTGCTGCGGCAATCGCAGCAGCAGTTTCCTCTTTAGAGTAAAGGAGGAAGGCGGGGGCATGAGGAGAAGTCTGAGGGTCTGAGGTCTCCCCTTGGCAGAGCAACAAAGAGCGCAGGAAATACAAAAAGGCCTCTTCATCGCTTCGACTCTTTTCTCGGGCGTACAACTGCTGGACTTGCACGGGACGCCATGGAGACCCGAGTGACGGGTACACTACATCACAGCCAGAAAGCCCCTCTTCGCCCTCTAATCCCGCAGCAGCGGCTGCTGCTGCTGGCGCTCGCCCTCCTCCCTGAGGCAACAAGAACTTTAAAAGACGGATACAACGGGTTAGGGCGGCGGCGTAAAGAAGTTGGAGCTGACGCTCAACAAAAGACCGAAAGACGGGGTCCTGATGATTCTGTGACTCCATCTCAGGTGCTGGTGGATAATGCACGACTGCTGTTGCGCTTGCCACTGTTGTTGCTGCAGCAACAGATGAAGCAGAGCCTCGTTTGGATCGTCTCCTCTCTTGAGGAAGCTGCAAGAGGACAGGTGGTCCAAGGTCACCTGCGAGCTGCTGCTTCCGTTGTTGAGTGCCATGGCCACCTCCGGGACTCGACCCTCTGCGGTCTCCAGAGGCCTTGGCGGAGCTTCGTCGGCCTTCTACCATTTCCTTGTCTCCAGCTGACATCAAGTCTCCCGCTCGTCTACGAAGAGCCCCTCTCACGCCGTGACTAGCATCCAATTTGCCAATCGCAGCGGCAGCGGCCCCGTGAAAGAACCTTCCGCGCTGGTGCTGCCGCTGCTGCTGCTGTTGTTGCTGCTTGCGGGGTAGCGCCTTTGACGTAGAGGCTGCAGGCCACAGGGCCACACGCCATGATTCCATCAGTCGGAAGACTCGATATCGCAGGTCGCAAGGATGGATACAGGTGCCGCATCCTGGACCAAAGCCGCTGTTCGATATTGGTGTGAGCAAACTCAGTAACTTGTTGCTGCTGGAGCTTGGCAGATCGAAGGAGACGCGAGCGAGCTGCAGAAGCTGCACCAACACGTTCTCATTTGACTGCTGCAAGAGAGGGCTGGGCGACATCCAGTGAATTGCAGTCTGCAGACGTTGCCGAGTGGGAATTACACTGCGGTGAGAGAAGGGACCCTTAGGGAAATTCCCAGCCTCGATACGTCGTTGCCACTCTTCAAGCGGCAAGGAAAACGGATGGCATGGGCCCAGCAGATCTGCACTGGCCGCAACATTTGAGTCAAGGAAGCCTGAGGCATCAGTGACACAGCAACCAGCAGTTCCATCCCCTTGCTGTAACTGCTGCTGCTGCTGCTGCTGTTGCTGTTGCGTCTCCAGGTTTGCTGTATTAACGCCTCCAAGCTTAAGAGACATGGCGCGTGCTAAGGACTTCCGAGGTCTCCGCAGCAAAACAGGCGGAGCGTTAGGACCTTGATGCTGCTGCTGCTGCATCAGAGCGTCCCCCACTGCATTCAACTCCGCATGACCCTCACAGGTTTGCTGGTCCTGTTGCTGGTCTTCCGTTTCGCTGCCGATGGCTGCCCCTAGCCTGAGGGACATTGCACGGGCTAAAGATTTGCGAGGTCGCCGCATTTGTCGGGACCCTGTGGCTGCTGGCGTGGCTCCGGAGAGGCTCTGCACCTCGAGGGATGCGCCTTGAGTAGAACCTGACGACAGCAAGTGCGCCTCCTCATCCACGAGAAGGGCTGCAGCTGCTGAATACTGCGAGTAATGGTAAGAAGTAAGCAAAAGCACCTCGTAGGCCAGCATTTGAAGGTCGGACTCCTTCCACTCCAAAGGACCAGATGATATGCCGCCGGTAGTCTCTTGCTGTTGCTGCTGCTGCCGCCGGCTAGACAAAATTTGATCCTGCACCTGCTGCACTGACATTCGGCCGGTGCGGTGAATGCGGGGAGCTGTGGAATTTGCTGGGCTTGCAAGAGACGCAGCAGCTGCTGCACGGCGACAGCAGCGGACGAGGAATGATGGTAGGGCAGCATCAGCAGCCGACGCGATCGCCTCAGCGAGACATGCAGCAAAGGCTGGGTCTCTCCAGTGTACGTCATGCGCGGTCGCCTCATTGCTAGCCCCAATAGGTCGAGACGCCAACGATGAAGATAGTCCAGAAGCTTCACCGCGGTGTGAGCTCCACCGTTGTTCTTTTCGCTGCTCGTCGGCTGGTTTAGTCGAATCTAAAGACATGTTTGCGAGAGGAAGGGAACGGAGTGACATCAGGAACGCCTCATACTTAAGTTGTACATCCACCCAAATCATTTCGATAGGTTCTTTTATGTTTGACTGTCCTGCAGCGGGAGGGCTGTTATCAGGGGACTCCCTAAGGGGCCCCTCGGCACTGCCTGCTTTGACTGCGGAGAGCTGCAAGGCCCTTTCAGCCCTCCCGTGCAGCTCCCCTCGCACCCCCCCCTGGTACAAACTTTGTGTCTCCCGCCAAGTGTTCTCCTCATCGGAATCGCCGAGATTTATTGTCACTTGCTTCCGCACCTTCGGTCTTCGCTCCTTTGGCGACAGCGATACGGCCAACGCGTCCTCTTCGCGTTGTTTCTTCAGCTCCTCAAGCTCTTTCTGCTTGCTTCGAATCTCCTTCTGCAGCCCTTCGCTCTTGAGGCGAAGTTCATCTCGCTCGTTCAGTGTCTCCTGTAACTGCTTCTCCTGGTGCAGCAACAGATTCCTTAGTGTCGCTTCAGCTGGCAAAGACATGATAGCATAAAACACAGCTGCCGCAGCTAATATGCCTGGCCTTTCACACAGCGGGAGCGTGCTAAGCCCCTTTTCGCTATCCTGTGACCTGAGACAGCGTATCTTTCATTCCCCAGTCTGCCATCTAGATTTAATCTCCACGACAGCAACCCTAATAAAGGATCACTTCTACAGCCTCCCTACTTGTTCGTTGCTGAGAGGTATCCGGCCCCCCGTTTGTTTGTTTGTAGAGCTGCGAAATCAGCTCTTCTGCTGCCCCTGGGGCAATCATGTCTTGTTCACCATCTCCAGTAAAGCTGCCAGATGCACTCGCTGCAGCGGCTTCTGCTGCGGCGAAGAGCTGCAGATCCCTCACGTAGTGCAGAACATAACCAGTGCTCCTCTGCTGGGATGTCAGCGCTGCCTGCGAGGACCACAAATGCACGTGATGGGATACAAATTTTCCCCACCGCCCTTACGTCGCAGCGAAACCGAAATGACATCGCTTCCTGCAAAGCAAATGGTCCTGTAACCGAAATGTAGCCAGTAGTGGTGATATTGAAAGGATACAGATTTCAGAAGTCGAAGACAAAAGCTGCCATGATGCGAAACATTATAAAATGCGACCTAAGAAAATTCACAATAATAACTGCTTACCTTGCTAGCAGCCCTCATTGACTGGAGAACAGCCAAAGAAACACGGCGGTGGTGCTCTTCAGTGCTCACGCCTCCTGCCTGAGCCCACGCGCAGTCGTTTCCCGCCTTCAGCAGGCGCGCGCTACCTCTGAGTTCCACAGAGTCACTGAAACAGTCCCAAAAAAAACGAGAGAGTCAAACCACTAGTATAATAGCAGAGGAGAAGGTCTAACGCAAACAGGCAAAAGCAGAAGGGCCTCAAAAATACACCAGAGGTAGTCAGAATCAGAAGAATCGGCAAGCAAGCTCATAACCTAGCATGCACGCTCTATCTTACAAAGGTCGTGGTGCTGATGATGTAGGGCACTGGCGTCGCTTTGCTGCTTCTGCTGCAAGCGCCTGCTGAAGCGCTTCTTGGGCAGCAACTTTTAGGCGAGAGGCACGACAAATGCGTTGAGTTGCCTTTTGCTCAAGCGATGAGTTCACAGCTTCGCCAAACAAGGCGCGGAGCTCCTGCAAGCTTGCTTCTGCCTTCTGCATTTGGAACAAAGCATGCAATAGGTACAATTTCAGCCGTGTTTTTCAAGACTCCTCTTTACGCCCATACTGGAAAATGGCAAGCAACTGCCTCTAAAATGATCTGACCAGGACATAGCCAACGCGAAATATGCTGTGAGCTTTCCCTAGTCCCTTCAACTCACCGTCAGCTCCTCCTCAGCGAGTTGCAGCCGCCGAGCTGCTTTCTGCACATCACCGCTACCCGCAAACTCTGACGGGATTTGGGTGTTTGTTGCATCGGGAGATTCCGAAGAGTCAGCAGCAGCGGCAAGCACGTGTAAGGCATCTTCTAGAGGCTTCACCACGCCTGCTTTCAGAGCTGATGAGAAACGGTCGGCCTCTGCCCCAGCTTCCGAGCAAAGAAGCAACAAACTGTTCAAGGCGTCTCGTGCCCCTCCTCCATCTGATACGTTCTCCGATCCCTCATTGTCCGGTTTTCCTGTAGCATTCCTCTGACGGCAAGTGTCAAGGATAGCCACCGCATTGAGACCCCGACCGTGAATGGCTAGGAGGTCTTTCGAAAACCGCTCGAAGGCGCCAGCGATCTCCGATTGGACCCAAAGCCAAGCCGCCGCAGCACGGGCTTCGTCGCACACCTGCCGCGCCTGCGGTGGGAGATTCGGCAGCGGGGAGGCGGCAGAAGCGCCAGCCCCCCAATGGCCGTTCATCCCGTTAACGATTGAGGCACAGTCATCCTTGAGGAGATTTCATCCTTTCTGGACAAAGGCTATGCCTATACGCCCCCACAATACGAGCTGCTGCCGAAGGCCCCAAAAACTTCTGAGGGAGAAGAACTTTTCTTGATGAGGCCCTTGAAGGAGAGGCGGGAACCAACAGATAGGTTTCGCCAGTTAATCGACGTCTGCTGTGGCGCCGTTACCGTCTCGCGGTGGGGAAGCACTATAGGCAGCAAGCAGTGAAAGAGATAGTCACACATGCTACTCAAAAAATGCGCTCCTGATAATATGAAGTCTCATCAACTAATAGGCCCGACCCCGCAGGGACAAATGCGGGCTTCTCAGCCACAGTTGGACTTGCTGTTCTATCCGTCGACAGCATTCTACGTTTTTGTCTACTGACTCATAAGGACTATCCCTAACCTTGTAAGACATGCAGATGAACGGAAAATCCGGGGGTACAGAGGGTATCTAGCCCCTGGGCGCAATGCGAATCAACCGGCAGTTCCCAAGCCAGGTCGAGAGGAAACAGCTCCCGAGACGGCTCAACGATCCCACGTTACTCTTCAGGCATTTATGTTAAAGGAACAAACAAGGAATCAGTGTGGGCAAGCACATGAAGAGATGATCAGTGACAACTTCATAAGCTCTATTGACATTGTTCAACTGCAGCTACGCAGACACAGCCTTCTTACATGTCGGCTCACATGTTCGCGCCCCATCAACCTCAAGTCAATCACAGATTATACGAATATTCTTTGGCTTAAAAAATACTGAGACATGTCTAAAACTCACCTTAACTCTCCAACAGTTGCGCTGCAGTCAGTTCAGGCCTTGGGTTGGCCGGCGGGCTTTCCATCACCCAATAGAAAGGGTATAGCGAAGAAAGTCTGCTTTCAAGATGTATCTGATGCACAGTTTTGTTTATTTTCTGTCTATTTCACTCAAGCAATGCTTCTTCTTTCGCTCGATTTGTAACAGCTGCACGATTTGCCAGTGGTGGCGGTCCGACCTCTTATTTCTGCAAGCATCCAGGGTGGGAGCACTACTAAACTAAATGATGCAAGCTTTCGCATTTCTTTTGTATGATAAAGACTGGCAGTTGAATGATGAGGGAAGCCACCTAGGCTCGGATTCCCCCTCTCAAGCATATAGTCCGATGTATTCAAATTGTCTGAGCGTTGCTATTGAAACTCGTCGTTACCAAGAAGAAAGCTGGCAAAATTCACAGTCAACAACTCTCAAGATGTTTTACATTTGTAAATATGCTTTTCTGGGCCAAAATTCTCCCAATGTAGGAAAGTTCGGGCCCAATTCGCCCCAGAGAATGGGCATGCAAATTAGGAGGATCGTTCGTGACAGTTACTGAGACGCACCATCAAAGAAACGGGAATGTAGTCTTCATGGGGAAGCAGTTGCATAAATAGGGTATTCACAATCATGTAGAACAGAATGCCGGAGATTGTTCTCCTAAAACAATAATCTGCGTAATATCCGCGAGCTTCCTGACATATGATAAATTCCTGCATACATGAGGTTCACCAGATACGAATCATGATCTTCAAAAATGCGATTGCACACGGAAAGCGCTGTTTGTGGAGGACGCATAAACGCAAGGAAACGAACGCGATTGCCTTCACGAACGCAATCGCGTTCGTGAACGTGATTGCGTATGGCGCAGTGTTTGTGCACGACTCGTGAGAATGCGGAGCGAAATTTTCAATCTCACTATGGCAGTGCCAAGTTATAATTAAGCTGCTCTTTTATTCTGCTAGACTCTTACCAGATACGGCTACCACTGTATCCTGACTGCTCGGCAGAATGCCGTGTGCTGAAATACCTCCAGAAATGCACATATTTTCTGAAGTAGTTTGTATCCTGAAGATGAACAAACTGTGCATATCATTAAGTGATCTCCTTTTAAGCGATCGCGTCAGGCCAAATGTGGGAAAGGGATATTTCTGTCGTTTCGTAGCTGTTCCTGGTTAGCATCAGGAGCGTCAAAAATGCTTGAAGTCACGTGCACTATGTGCAGCTCAAATTCGAAGCGGTTTCCTGAGTATTTGAGCATGGGAAAGAGCTTAGAACGCATGAGAGACTCCCCTAGTACCCCTGGAAAAGCGTTCGGCGGACAAAGTAGGATTAGTTAGGTACGAGTTGACTTGCAAAACTAGTGTGCGGCTCATTGAGTTGATCATATCTTGTACGACATTGCGTAAAAGATAACTCCTGCTTCCAATTCTCATTAACGTTGAATTAGCACAACAGCACAAAGCACCTTCATGCTTTTCTTGTGCCTTTGTCGAAGACTAGGCCTGTGGGCCCGCCAAGGTTAGCAATTCCTTGCTCCTTACCGTCAACTTTTGCTTGTTTGATTGCTGTGCTAGGCTTAGTCTCTATTCATGTACCGTATCTCAAACCCACCACCGAAAATAACGCGTTTCAGTCTTTATCACACGTTAAAGCTTTGTCAGCTGCCATCGAAAAATGCGCATCATTTCAGCCACAGTGTGCTGTTGGTTCCATTTCTAAACAGCTAATTTTTCTCGTGGAACGGCACAAATTTGCACCTGTTGCCTTGCAATGGACTACGCTTGGAAAATATTTGAATGTAGGGCCTTCCCTGAAGCTCTGCCCTCAGGCAAATGCGCTTCTGCGGATCCCCCCCTTTGGAAGGGCTTATTTATTAGATACAAAACCAACCAACTTAACTGTACAACCTTAGTCAGGTTATAGTAACTGAACAAATAGCAGTTGGTTCTTTTGGTCCCGCGATGGATCATTCAAGTTTCTGGCTTATCAGCTTTCCACGGCAGAGTGTTGGCCTACAGTGGCAACGACATGTAACGTGAAATTAAGGTTCTATTCGGGAAAGAGAGTCTAAGAAACAGCTACGGCACCTATATGCTGTGTCACAGCTAGTAAACAGCGGAGAGCAGCAAACTTTCCACTGAAAGACTTCTTCCCTTTTTCACGACAAAGCCTGCCAATTTGTACCTAACTGAAGTCCTTTTATTCCCCTGGCGCCTGAAGTGGCACTGCCTTTGCCAGCGATTGCCCCTCACTCAATTCCTCCTAAACGTATTAGTGAAGGTAGAAACTTGCCTTTCACGAAAGGCACTAGTTCTTTGTTGCAAATGGCACTGTAGTCCAACACCTGCAACGGGGCACAAAGGGAAACTTCCTAGTTTGAAGAATGCTTCTCCAAGCACAACAAAGTTGCGTCTTCAAGGCCAATATTTGCCAAGAATCAAACATGCCATTGCATAGAGCGACGGGTTGATACGCTGTACTTATAATGTATTACATTTGCGTTCAAAGGAGTTCGGGCAAGCTGATTCTATTTGCAGTGGGAAGCCCCAAAGGCGATTGTTCATTGTCAGGATGAGCTCCATCGGCGGCCGTTTTGAAAAGCAGTTTAGATGATAGGAACGTTGAGCAAGCGATTGACTATTGCAACGCAGCTATTGGGAACACTGAACTTCGGCAGAGGATGCGCTGCCTGCAGTCATTTGCTTACGGCTGCAGCTTCACACACATAAAAAATTCCCATGAAGTTTCGAGTTGCACACTCCTCCAATATCTGCCTTCATGTTGATAAATCTGCTTACCAAGCAAAAGTTTCGCGCTACATGCCGCATTGAACAGGTCATCGACTATGACTCGAGAGTTTACTGCTTTTGCTGGTGTCACCGAAGTCACTTGCGGTGATCCTGCCTGTTTAAATCTTGAATTCAGCAATGTTAAGGCCAGATCGAAAAGATGACGACCCAGAAACAAGTGCCGAAGCATGAATATTGCAGAAAGTGAAAACAGTGCGCAACCAGCCAACTTGTTCATGATTATTGCTGCAGCTCCCACTGAAATGCTAATCAGAAGAATGTAGCGAACATGCATTTGCGCACCGAACGAATTCGGCGGAGCTAATGATCTGTTCAGTTGAACACCATGGAGACTAGCATTGGAAACGGCGAGCAAGTAGAGACTACATGAATGAAGAAATCAGAATTATTCACGGGTTTCGGCTTGGCGTGAAGCCAAGTATGACAATGGGGAATTATTTCACAAGGCGGCTTAATCTGTTAAGTTATCATAAAATCCAGATGGGAAAGCGCCCCTTAGTCGCAGCAATGCTGATGAAGCACTGACTTCATGCCACGAGTATTTGTGTGTTGCTTGTCATAAGTTGCTTTTTATAATATATAAAGAAGTTCCAGTAATGGTCCAGTTCTGATCTGCTATGAAGACCATTGTTCTTCTTAACGGAGAGGGGGGCGACTGAAGTGTTGAAGCTGTTCAATGATGCTCCGCAGTTGAAGTCTGTGCAGATTTTCACGGGAGACATTGAAAAAATTTCGTGAGATGGTAAAATCCTATGAAGCGCAGTGGTGAAACTTGTCGTGGTCTCTTCCATAAATGAAATTGCACTGCTTGCGTCTCGACCTCGCGCGAAGTAGATCAGCCGGGCGCTGCCAAATCGAAGCATGCAGCGGGCTACATTTTCGGCCTCACCTTTGATATTTTGCATTATTAGTTATTTTAGATTAAAACGCCTGAAGACAGGGAGGTAACTGCTAGCAAAGCGGTGCCCTGTGATCATGCTTGATCGTCAATGAACCTGTGGTGTCACTACAGTGGACCATTTCGGCGGATCACTTTGTAGGTCAGGGATCACAAATGGAATCAGAACATTCTAAAACCAGCATTGGTCCGCAAGAAAACAGCGGCACCTGAGGGGCAACCTGGTTTTGTCTAAACTGGAGCAGAGTTTTCCAATTCCTTTTGCAAAGATGTGGCGCCCCAGCGGACTATCAAGTATTTTCCTGGCAACCTGCCTCGGTGTAGCTCTTTGGAGCACAACCGCGAGCGCTGAGTTCGACTTTCCGGCTGCAAACTTGAGGTCGATCCAGCGTCACCTCGTCCGCATGGGCGAATTTTTCCCAGTTAACCGGTAAGCAAACCAAACTTTTTTCTCTCCACGAGTTGGCTTAGCATTCCTTCTTAGGCCTGGTGAAGGAGACGAAGGCTTCGATGGAGCACGCCCTGAGAACCCAGAGGGCGGAGCCATCTCGAAGTTTGCGTTCTCAAATATGCCTTCTCTGCTCGGAGCCGTCTACCTCTTCTCTGCAATATGTTTTATTCTATGTCTGCGTGGGCTGAGTACGCCCCAGACAGCCAAGCGTGGCAACATTCTTGGGTATGTCGTTTTATAAGCGCCTTGCGCGACCATTTCAATACTCATTGGCTTTTAACAGTCTTGTGGGCATGGTGGCCGCTGTCGTCGTGACCTTCACGGAGGCAGGATTCGGACAGCACTACTTGCTGTTTTTCGCCACTGCTGCACCGGCCGTTGGCCTGGGGCTGTACATTGCGCAGTCTGTCAACATGACTGAAATGCCTCAGCTCGTGGCTCTTTTCCACAGTTTCGTCGGTCTTGCCGCCGTGATGGTAGGCGAAGTTGATCTCAAAGTGATTGCATTCGCCTGCTTCACATCACATCACATCAGGTTGGGTTCGCGAACTTCCACTCCCCTGCTGGCGTGGAGCGCGCTTCCTCACTTTTACGTCTGTTGGAGGTCTACGCCGGCGTTTTCGTCGCCGGTATCACCTTCACCGGATCAGGTTTGTCAGATTTTACCCTTCGCCGCAGAGGAAAGTCATAATATACGCTCTTACAGTCGTCGCTGCGGCAAAGCTCCATGGATCGATGGAGAGCCGCTCATTGAGGGTTCCCGGACGCCATGCGTTGAATTCTGCCACTATTGCTGCCATTGGTGTACTTGGCGCTCTTTTCTGCGTCTCTTCTGGCCATTTTACACGCATGCTTTGTCTGTAAGGCTTTTGCTCCTTTTTACTCCTTGTTGTCGGTTCTTAATCCCTGTTTTCAGTTATGTGAATGCTGGCCTGAGCATGTGGCTTGGTTTTCACCTGGTCGCCGCTATTGGTGGAGCTGACATGCCTGTCGTGATCAGCTTGCTGAACTCGTATTCCGGAGTGGCGTTGGCTGCCAGGTATGCACAAGCATAAGTATCCTCACTGTGGGCAGGCTCAACCTTTTTGTTTCTTCAGTGGCTTCATGTTGGACAACAACCTGCTGATCATTGCTGGTGCTCTCATCGCGTCATCTGGTGCCATTCTGTCTTACATCATGTGGTAGGAAGATTCTTTCTTCTTAAGTCAGCCGCTGTTTTTCGACGCGTTTACACAGCAAAGGCATGAACCGGAGTCTGTGGAATGTCGTTCTTGGTGGTTTCGAGGAGGCCGAGGAAGTTGGAGCAGCCAGCCCTCAGGGAGCTGTGCAGCAGACCACGCCTGATCAGGTCGCCGACGAGTTGCTGGCTGCCCGCAAAGTTTTGATCGTACCTGGATACGGAATGGCCGTTGCAAGGTGCCAGAGCGAGCTTGCAGACATTGCCAAGGTAAATGGATGTTACTCTTTTGCACATCCAAGCACAAGCTTCATGAGTCGCATGTGCAGAACTTGATGAACTGCGGTATTACCGTCGATTTCGGCATCCACCCAGTTGCTGGTCGCATGCCAGGTATGTCAAAGAGCATAATAAATATCCTAGAGACGTGTTCTCAACGATTTTTCAGGCCACATGAACGTCCTCCTCGCTGAGGCTGATGTTCCGTACAAGATTGTCAAGGAGATGTCTGAAGTCAACCCGGAAATGAGCTCCTACGACGTCGTCCTCGTTGTTGGAGCCAACGACACCGTCAATCCTGCAGCCCTTGAGCCAGGATCAAAGATATCAGGAATGCCCGTTATAGAGGCCTGGAAAGCTAGACGCGTTTTCGTGCTGAAGCGGTCCATGGCTGCTGGATATGCCAGCATTGAGAATCCTCTTTTCCATCTGGAAAACACACGCATGCTCTTCGGAAACGCAAAGAACACCACATCTGCAGTCTTCGCCCGTGTCAATGCCGTATGTGCCTCATTTTTCCCTTTAAAATTGGCATAATTTACAACTGGTGTTTTTCAGAAAGCCGAGCAAATGCCACCATCTGCTGCTCGCGATGACCTCGAGGCTGGACTACTTGAGTTCGATAGGGAAGAACGTGTTGATCCCTCTTCTTGGCCATATCCCAGGATGGCTGTTGGCGTTCTGAGAGATTCCAATGGCTCTGTGATGGTGCCAGTAGCTCCGAAGTTTGTGCCTAAGCTGAGGAAGTTGGCATTCCGGTAAGGAACGACAAACTTCCATCTCACATGGCAACGTTTTCAACTCGTGCACAGTGTCAATGTCGAGTCTGGTGCTGGCGCCGATGCCGGCTTTACTGACGAAGAGTACAGGAGGGCTGGAGCAGAAGTCCTGTCGGGCCCCGATGCAGTCATTAACCAGTCTCAAGTTCTGCTCCGCGTTTCAGCGCCGTCGCCAGATCTGGTTTCGCGCATTCCTAGGGACAAGGTCCTTATCAGTTATCTATTCCCCAGCATGTAGGCCGTCTACTGCTACAAGGCAGTTTTTTACAAATAATATACGGAAAACTATTCAGCAACCAACAAGCTCTGGACATGCTAGCACGCCAAGGCGTCACCGCACTTGCTGTGGATGAGGTTCCTCGCGTCACAAGAGCACAGAAGCTAGACGTGAAGTAAGAAAACCATGCAAATTGTCTTCTCGAATATTCCGGTCTAAATTTCCTTCAGGTCTGCTATGCAAGGCCTCCAGGGATACCGCGCCGTTATCGAAGCCTTCAACGCTCTTCCGAAGCTCAGCAAAGCATCTATCAGTGCTGCCGGCCGTGTAGAAGCCGCTAAAGTTTTCGTCATCGGTGCCGGTGTTGCTGGACTACAGGCAATTTCTACTGCCCATGGTTTGGGTGCGCAAGTATTTGGCCATGATGTGCGCTCTGCAACTCGTGAGGAAGTCGAGTCTTGCGGTGGAAAGTTCATTGGTTTGAGAATGGGAGAGGAGGGTGAAGTCCTCGGAGGATACGCACGCGAGATGGGTGATGCATATCAGAGAGCGCAACGCGAGATGATTGCCAACACAATCAAGCACTGCGATGTCGTCATCTGTACCGCTGCTATTCACGGCAGACCTTCACCAAAGCTCATATCACGCGACATGTTGCGCTCAATGAAGCCTGGCTCCGTCGTCGTGGATCTTGCAACAGAGTTCGGTGATGTGCGCTCCGGCTGGGGTGGAAACGTCGAGGTTTCGCCTAAGGACGACCAGATTGTCGTTGATGGCGTCACTGTCATTGGCCGCAGACGCATAGAGACCCGCATGCCTATTCAGGCGTCTGAGCTGTTCTCCATGAACATATGCAACCTCCTTGAGGATCTTGGTGGTGGCAGCAACTTCCGCATCAACATGGACGACGAAGTCATCAGAGGATTGGTCGCAGTCTACCAAGGTCGCAACGTGTGGCAGCCATCGCAGCCCACTCCTGTTTCCAGGACACCTCCACGCGGCCACGTGCCACCGCCGTCTGCACCTGGTGCACCAGCTCCTGAGAAGCCTGGAGCCTTTGCTCAAGCACTTGCTTCTGATGCATTCTTCGCAATGTGTCTTGTTGTTGCTGCCGCTGTTGTCGGACTCCTTGGCAGTAAGCATATTTGTGTCACTGAATACGTGGACACAGATGGCAATTATCGTCTTCAACAGTTGTCCTTGACCCTGTGGAGCTCAAGCATTTGACTCTCCTCGGCTTGTCTCTTATCGTCGGCTACTACTGGTGAGCAAGATTCATAAAACCATCTTCTCGACTCTATTATAAAAGGATTTCTTTCAGCGTGTGGGCTGTTACGCCTTCTCTTCACACACCATTGATGTCTGTGACAAATGCCGTACGTTCGATAAATATTCACAGAAATCCGCGGCCTTCGTGCATGCATGTTCTCTCAGCTTTCGGGAGTCATTGTCATTGGCTGCATGCTTGGTAGGTTCAAATTAATCTAATATACTGCATGAACATCTCCCAAGCGTTGTTTCAGAGTACGGAACCGCCATGATATCCGGATTCACTCTTCTCGCCGTCATTGGAACCTTCTTGGCTTCTGTCAACGTTGCTGGTAAGGAACACATTTCATGCTAGTCTGCTGCAGACTGGTGCTTTATACTAATTACCTTGCAGGTGGATTCTTCGTAACTCACCGCATGCTGAAGATGTTTCAGATATAAGGGGAAAACCCCCTTGAGTTAATCTTAACTCAGAATAACTCTTTTTCAATTGTTGTAAAACTGTACTCGTTGCAATCATTGTTGGGTATTTCCTACGATTTCGAAAACCAGCTACAATAAGTTATAGCCTAGATTTAAAGCATTTCGCAGTAGAAAGACTAAGACAGATTGAAGACATAAGAGACGGTGGAAAGTAGTATCAAGCTTTAAAATGTTCGAAGTGCCCAAGATATTTCCTCGCATTTTCTTCGCTGATATGGATCTCAAGGGCCATCCGCTGCAGCCTTTATCACATCAAGTCATTACTCTAATCTGAAATGCAGAAGATATCCCACTGGAATCAAGTTCCCAATCCAAAGGTTGAGAGGATGTAAGACTGTCGAAGGTGGCGAATGATTCTAGCAAATTTCCCAGGAGATATTTCTCTACAACCTGATTCGGTAGTAGGTTGTGTCGTGGTGGTCTATTGCTTCCTTCAGCCTCACATGCAATGCGATTGCTTCCTGTCAGTATAGGTTAAGCAAATTACCGCACGAGTTCAGCTGAAGAAATTTGGCGAGGATCTTCTAACTGCAATTTTTCTTGGCGCAGAGAAGCAGAAAAGTGCGAAAGCCATTCGGTGACGCCTTCAGCGAGAGACGTATCATGAGAGTAGTGTTGGTGCAAACAGTTGACGGTATCCTTGCACAGCATTTCTAGAAGGTCATTGTCTTTTGAGCGGATCAGCTGGCGGGCCACTGAATCAACAGCACTTGTTATTGCTCTGAAAAAAAGAACGTGGACAAGCTATCATACATAAAAGTATCTTCTTTTTCCGGAACCATATGCAGTTTTGCCCGCTTTTCCAGGTATTTTATTCACTCACAGCTCTTCGGATCGCTGGAAGCGGGGGCTTCGTTTGATGGGGTTCTCTTTGGCAAGCAAAGCAGAGGTAGATAGCCCACAGAGAATTTGCGGATAAAATTCTTCCACACCCAATCCAATGGAGAGGAGCAGCTCCAAAGTTTGCAAGCCTGCAGCCCTCACAGGAAGCAACACCACATATTCCGGTTTCCACGGGAGCTTTCAATCTCTTTCACGGGCGACAGAGTCCTATGGGTGTTTTTCTCACCCTCCAAAACAGCATCCGCCGAAACGCTTTCAATCGCGTCCAAACAAAAGCTCATCCAGTCAGACAGTCTCAAGTTCGCGGAGGGTCCGGCGAACTTCAGCAGTTCCCTCGTCCGCTTGAGGAAGGAGGCGCGGAGACCGTCTCCGGCGTTTAGAACCGTGTGGCACATGTCAATCAAGAAGTCTTGGCTACGCAAAAACACAGATTGCTTTAATCGTGGGCAGTCTTCATTCACAGAAACATTTAGCACCACAAGCGACCTGAAACAGCTGCATGCCTTAGCTGACGCACCAGTCTAGAAACGAGTAGTCGCATCCTTCCAGATGTGTGCGACAGACGAATGTAGTGAAGGCCTCGAGATAAGCCTCGAAACAGGTGTCAACTTCGGTGTAAATTGGAAAGCCCCCCATCAATGCCTACGCGAAATGGACAACATATCTTGTTTTTGCGATAGAAGTAGGCACAAAATACAGATTCATATAGCAGCAAGCAACGGCTCTCTATATAAGAGTGCATATTGCAAAGGACAAAAGGTGTCAGTCTTCTGTACCTGGAGAATAGGCACGCTGAAACTGTCGAGAGCTGAGAACAGCAACAAAAGTAAAAACATTTAGTATTATGAGCAGCGGACCACACAGGCAACCTTCTGCGAAGGCTGCGTATTAATTCCCTTGCACTGTGAAACGTAAGAATAATTCCGCTTCCTCTCACCACCCACAGGAGAGCTTGAAATGACCTCGTGTAGACATGTCCAGCCCAAAAAGCGAACTTCGTCTGCGTTTGCCGCAAAGATAATTCTCACACATTGAAAATTTTGTTAGCACCACGATCCAGCACAGTGCCCGCAGTACATGGGCGACCGTTTATTAGATTGATACTCATCGAGTCTCTTTCTTCAGTCACAGAATATTTCGCAGTCTGGTACTTTTGCTTCAGTGCGTACCCTGAGGGACGTCCAGTAGACGAAGAAGTGGTGGTACAATTAGGACGACACTCCGCTCGCCTTCAGTGATCTACATGCAAAAACTCACGGCAAGTACAGGCTGCTCCACTCGTCCTAGACGTCAAGATAGAGTGCAGCCATAAATGCATCATACATACATGCAATTAAGCATACATGCATGGTTCTGACGAGAGCAATCAAAATCCGCGCAGCCTGTACAGCCATTCGGAATGCGCCTTCGTCACTCAGATACGACAGAAAGCCCCGTTCAGAACCTCTGTGAACTACTGAGTATCCAGATGTGGGGAGTTCTGGTGGTAAATTAAGCAATTGCTCGTCAGGAAGGCCTTCAGGCAGTCGCAGCCGTCCTGCAGTGAGGAACACTCAAAGCGACAATGCGATGGCGCAGCAAAAGATGATATACGCGTGACGAATAGCACTAATAAGGATCAATTGCGCATATTGTGGAAGACAGCTCTAAAGGGACTCTGCAGGGAGGCTTGCCTGTAAGTGGGCAACGCGGGTCAACTCCTCTTCCCTGCTCCTGGATCTGGAACTTGGCAATCGCGGTTGCTGCAGCACTAGTAAGTAAAATGCGTGAATCGGCGCGGTCTGCGTTGACCTGAAAGGCCTTGGGAAGCTCTTTGGCTGTTAGTGCACGAGAGCACAAGCCCGTGACGGCGTGTACAAAGACAGTGGATGACAGTCCCAGGAAATGGGACCGCACTGTCCCCTTTGACCTGCAGATGAAGTATTCTTCGCTCTCCTCTAGCAAAGCTGCATCACTCAACAACGTACACCTACGCACAACTGTATAAGAATATGCGCAACGGCACATCTAGAAAGTACTTGAAGGGATATCCACTTGCCCGCAAAGCACTGCAACTTTTAAAAACCTTTTCATTAGCTGAAAATTTAATTCCTTTTGTATTTGTTAATGATCCAGCACGAGTATAAATGAATACTAAAATGCAATTAAAAGCTCTTCCTATCTTGAAAAACAAAAGACCAATGGTAGCACTTAAAGTAAAACGAGGAGGTGCATTACTTTGTAAAATGCATTATATTTCGCACAGCGTATTTCCGGCAATAAGACATCCGACCTCTTGCTTTTCGGACCACCGATTCATCAGTGGCAGCCGCAGCAGCTCCAAAGGTCTCCAGACATTTGGAAGATCCTTGTATATTGAGGGCGAAAGACAGAAGCAGTCCCTGAGCCTCGGAAGTAGCAAATTCAACAGTCTATTGCACTTTGGTAGTTTGCACTGTAGGTGATGTCATAGGAGTATCCAGCATTCCAGACGCACTTCTCCATCTCCTGCGCTACGCGGAGGCGCGCACTGCTGCCTACCTTGACAGTTGCATAGATATAAACTGCCGCTTTGTTCGGCGCGCCTTCAGGTGCTGGGAAGTCTGGCGCGGCGAATGCCCAACAACAGCTATTTTCTGCTGGTCTCTCTGCCACTTCCTGGCTTCGAGCTGATGTATGCTGGGACGAGCTTGCAACCCAACGGAGATGAGGAGGCAAATGCGCTGCGAGAATCATCTTCTCGACCTCACTACCGAAGCGGAAGTCAACCTGCCCCCCCTGAGTCGAAGACGACGAGTTGTGAATATTTTTCTTCGCTGCATTTGGGATAAGAACATCTCTTAAGTCGTCCAAAGCAACAAGGAGCTGGCGGGCAGTTTCAGCACAAATCTGATGCTGCACAGACGCTTCCGCTTCAGCTGCAGCCTTGGCATCCTTCCCCTCTTGACTCGGCTTTGGCGCTGTTCCCCGCACGCTCCCCTGAGCGCCTGCCGATGCTCCATCAGCTGCCGCTTTCGCGGGCAGCGCACAGGCGGCGAGGAGTCTCGAAGAGGAAACGAGAACTTTGGGGCACCGAAGTAAGAGCGCGAGCAGGCGAGTCTGTTGAAGATGCTGAGAAGAACTGCACAGGCGCCCGGAGGCAACCCAGTTGGGAAGGTTGCACCTGACAAGTGAGGAGAGGGGCCCAGATGCAATCCGCTCGATGGCGTGTTCCAGTGTGTCCCCAACGCTGGAAGATGTTTGAGCTGCAGATGCAGAGCACTCTTGTCCAATGCCATCTCCCGTTCTGCTGCTGCAGGAGGACTCCCACTTGAGTCTGAATGAAAGCCTCTCATCGAGCCACGCAAGGATCTTCGGTAGCATATGAGTAGCAATTGATGGCGACACTCGTATAAGAATGTCCAAGGCAAATAGTGCTTCTGCACACCAGCACAGCAGCCGCAGAATCTGGCCATGAAAGCGTGCTCCACGATTCAGCAATTTGTAAAGGGAAAGCGCCGTAGTCAATGCAAAGTCGTTGCTAAAAGGCTTACCTCTTACTACGTCATCAGCGGACACGGATTCAACTTTACAGCGGTCCGTAGCGTCAGAATCGGGCACACTTGGGCCAGACGAGGAGCCACTGGATTTGCTGGGATGATGGGAGCAGTCGGCCGGCGTCTGCGCCGCTGGTTGCTTTGTTGGCGGTGGAAACAGAAAACACTCAGCTGAAAGTAGAAGAGCGATTGCCCAGTAAAGAGCAGCTTGGCAAAGAGCTCGCTGGTACTTCAATCTTTCCTCCGCCTCTCCACTGCTTTCATTGCCCTCATCTTCCCCGCTTCCTGCCTCCTGTTGTCCATCAGCAGGACTGGAACTGCCGAGGGCGGCTTCGAAATGGGCCCGCACTTGTGCCACAAAGTGCCTTGTCAGCCACTGAGTCTTATGATCAGATGCTTCCTGGGGCTCTGCCGATAAGCGTGTGGTCTCTGCTGACTGCGTTTCGACGGCCTCTGTAAGGGGGTCATTTAACTGAGACTCGAAGTCAGAGGCCACGTCAGTGTGGGTCGGCTGGCTTGCGCCAGATGATACTTTAGTGACAGATGAAGCTAAGGTATCTGACTGACATAATGAACAGGGTTGCAGCAACTGGGAGAGCGCCACGCGCAATGAAACAGCATACAGAGGCCGACTGCTGCTGAGGCGCTGGGCTGCAACCGCAGCCGCCGCATCGCGAGAGCGTTGGGAAGCTAGTGGCATCGTAATAAGCACCCTCCTTAGTTTAAAAACGTGGGAAGGGCTCGTCTAGACCAGCCGAAGACAGCCGCGGAGGCCTCGGGGGCCCATAGTGCTGGAAACGTAGGAGTGGCATGTGAAGCTCCAAGCGTATATCACGCTTCTCCATAAAAGCAGTATTATGCTTAGGCAAAATGCAGTTAATTGATGCGCCTATTTAATGCATGCTTCTTCTAGCTGGACTGCATGCAGATCATCTCGACATACTCTGGGGGCCCAACAAGGTCTGCCGGAGTGGAAGTCAAGAAGTCTAAACATGCGTCGTCAAACAATGATGCCAATAAGCTTTCATGTGGCATTTTTTTACCACTTTGCACGGGGCTTGAGGCTCAATATTGCTAATGTTATTGGTAAAAGCGTAGTACGGTAGAAGAGACCCTCGAGGTCCCACTCACTCAGTTTGAGTGGGTCGGCATTTCGGCAGGTATAAAGGCTTGTCTGGAGGGGCTCTCCTTTCCGCTATTGAATGACAAAGATGTTGAAACTCAATATTTAGATCAGAAGAAACTACGAGAACCATTGCAAACTGCCTCGGGCCTACTGGGGTCAAATCACCTCAGTTTGAGATTTCCTCGTGTAGGGCCCCACATTAGTCACAGAGCGGGAAAAGGATTACATGAGGAAAGGAGTAAGTTCTAGGCAGTGGATTGCTTATGGTTTCTCTGAAAAATCGAGGTGGGGGCCAATGGGGGTCTTCCTCCAACGGCAGCTCACGGTCTTCATCTAGGCCAAGGGAAAAGTGCTCAGAAGAGGAAATACGGCGAGCGGAGCTCCTTGGCTCCGCCTGGCTGCAGCGTTACCGGCAGATAGAAGGCACAAGTCTGCTGCCATCAGTAGAACCCTTGGATGAGCTATTGCTGGGCCTTGACTTCTTCGAGGACCTGAGGGAAGAAGACGTCCGCGCCTTACCTGCAGACCCTTCCAGAGGAGGTCATGCAGAGGAGAAGGACCAAGGCGAGGACGAAGAAGGCTCAAACGTTGGAAATGAAGAAAATGACACTTCTGCTGAAGCCAGTAACCCATGTGGCGAGCCCAAACAAACTGATCACAGTACAGACGAATCACACAACAGAACGCAGCACCTACGGGCGATACCTACAGTCATACCGAACGAGAACGTCTACGTTGGCTTTTTCTTTCCTCTGTTCCTTCAAGAGGCAAAACAAGCCCTTGCTAGAGCCATCAAGGTCGACCTGGGGCCACCGGAGGACTTTATACAGGTCAGCTGGCACGCAGCCATTCCGACCGTTACTTCTCCCATATAAATCCCTTATTAGCAGAGTCAGAGAGCACACTGAGACTCTTCTACATTGAGTTGGCCGCCGTACTTTTAAAATTTACTCGTTCTTTCTTTCATGTTTCCTCAACATTGCCTCGCAGCAAAGCGGCGAGCCTCGCGGTTCTCTTCTCTCTCTGCATCTGAGCCGAACTGGGAGCGCTGCAGCGGCCTCTGAATCGGTATGCCGGTATTGCCACGGCGACTTGGTCTTGATGTACATTCCAGCAGCAGCAGCTGACACAAATGAGGCGAAGGCGGCGCAGCAAAAAGACAGCAGCAAGGAAGCAACCCAAGACGCCTCTGCGAAGGATAATGCAACTGCCGACAGCGGAAAAGCGGATGAGACTGATGAGGCGCAGGTGCAGCCAACGTGTAAACCTTTGAAGGCGAGGGATTTGGACTGTCATGTTCTCGCGGTTGTGTCCCAGGGTCAGCACGAGTCTATTACTGTTAAACTCCTCACGCCTCTGGGGCCCGCCTACAGTGGCAGAACTGTGCATGGAGTGGAAGGATCATCGGACTCCGCAGAAGTGTACAACCCAGCCACAGGCCGTCCCTATGGATTTTTACTTCCCAGAGAGAGGCAGCGCTTGGTGAAGCTGGTGAAGGCACTGAACGCTCAGTTCACCAGGTGGACGGTGCAGCGAATCATGTCCCTCACAACTCTATACAGAGAGTTCCAGGTGACCATTGCCACGCTGTTAAGATGTCTGTATTATTCTGTCCGTCCTTCCCTGATTATGCGGGTTTGGCTGCCTCCTCCCTTTCTTCTACGCACGGGCATATTTGTGTCTGTCTTCTTCTCTGCCTCTCTCCCTCCTGGGATGTAGATTAGTGCATTTGCTGTTTTGCATGCGTGTAAATATGCATGGCTTCACATCTACTTGTACATCTGTATATTCGCCTGCATGGTTGTACGTGCACAGATGCTTATGGATATGCACGTGTGTACATGAACCAGCTTATGTGTGGTGGAGTACAAGCAAGCGCATGGGCCAGTTTGTATGCTTACATGTGTGTAAATTCATGCGTTCAATTGTGAACATTTCTACGGATGAATGCCTGAGTCTCTGTGTGTGTGCATGCCTTTACTTTTGCGTTTCCTGTAAATCCCTTGTGTCGTCAGTACTGAGTTGCAGGCTAATGGTTTGTGATGACTTTTCTGCATTACGGCTACAGGGATTGATGTCCTTACCTGATCTTCTGCTAAAAGACAGTCTCTTCCGATTGGCGCCGACGGGCCCATCGTCCCAACGGGAATCCGGCAAAAATAAGCTTCTTGGTCCCCTAAACAACCCTCTTTTGGAAAGTAACGAAGACAACAGTGAGACACTACAGGGAGATGAAGAAGAAGGGGAAGCTGCTGCTCCTCCTGTAGCCATGGCCTCTAGTGATGCGCCACCAGCCACCTCCGATGTGCCTGGCACATTGTCCGCCTCGCCTCCTTCAAGAAAGAGTGAAGTATCCGCTGACACTGCAGAAGAGCTAGCTGACGATAAGCCACAGCAAAACGAAAAACGCCTTGTCATTCCAAAGGCTCTGCGAGAGCGTTTAGAGAGCCTGTACAACGCAAGTCAGCTTGCTGCCCTTGAGGATTCCCTTAAGGTTGAAGGGGTCACCCTAATTCAGGGCCCCCCAGGCACTGGAAAGACGTCCACTATTGTTGGAGTTGTTTCTGTCATCCTTCACGCCCAGTTGGAAGGGCAGCAAGACCATAAGTCGGGCCTTCCTAGCGTGAGTTGCAGGCCAATCATGACTTGCGTGAACTGCGTAGTTGGAAAACTGTTCTTTTTGTAGCGACAAAAGGGCGACGCCCACACTACTCAGCTGAGTGGACTGCTATTGCTTCTAACTTTGCGGGCGCTCTAAAAGTCGCTTTCGTTTTGTCACCTGCAGAAAGAACGCAGCACTGCGGAGGAAAAAATGCAGGTCCAGGAGGTGAAAGCAAAAGGGACAACATCGTCTTCTTTAAAACGTCGTCCATGGCTTCAGCGTGAGCAGTGCTAAGGAAGCTTCATTTGTTTGTCTAACTGCCTCGGCCCCTTTTAGTTTCCTTGCACTGGGGCACAATGAGGCGTTTTGAGCTGGCGAATGCACGCAGGCCTTCTTGCTTGTTACGTGGCTATTAAGCGAGGAAGTGATGTTGTGCCGTGTTTCTCAGCAAACTACACAGCTTGGATGGACCTGGACGAGATCACTTTAGAAGACCTTGACAGCCGGATGTTGCTGCAGCCGGCAGCAATGCCAACTGAGCCGCCAATTATTCTTACAAGAGAGCGTCATGAACTGCAACCGGTGTATGTTTACATGTACTCGTCAGGGCGTCATCAGCTTCTTGGAGCTGTTCTCCTCAAACGCAGTAGAAATCAGTGTGCCAAAGGCTGCGGCGCAGGTCTCGTTAGTTGGGGCCACTACTTAGTGTACACGGCCACGTGTTTTGTAGGGGAGCCTGTTTTTGATGCTTGTTCTTTCCCTCAGGCGCATTTTGGTTTGTGCGCCTTCAAATGCTGCCATTGACGAGATTGTAAAGCGTCTTACGGCAGATCCAGAGTCCGGTGGCGGAATATTTGATGGGAACGGTCAAAGATTCTCTCCTTCTGTCCGTCATTCCCACGGTTTTAAACTTCTGCCGTCACTTTATGTTGAGTTCGAGCTCGCCAGTCATTCCTTAGATCTGTTGTTTCTGTTTGAAGTCAGTTTTCCTCCCATGTTTTTTAAAGGAGGGAACTGGAGGAGCACATGAATGGTCTGGTGTTGGGACTGAAGTTATGGCGTATGTTTCAAACCTTGGTTGCAGGTCGTGAGAGTCGGGCCAAATGTACACCCTGACCTGCTGCCGCACAGCCTGCAGTACAAAGCTCTACAGAGACTGAAGTCCAGAGGGGCAACTAATTTTGCTGCCCTATCAGTAAGCGATTTCTGGTATCGCTCTACCAGAGATTCGTATTTTTGGTGCGACGAAAGAGGGAAGACAGAAAGACATCTCACAGCTATCACACCGCTATCACACTGCAGGGACACGTTCACCGAACTCACACCTTTTGGAAGCTGAAGTCAACAGGATTTGGCACCGCAGGCTCTCAGGGCCTGAAACGATGCTACAAGACTTATTCTTTAGCAGTTAAATTGCTTTTAGCTGCGTGTGTCCAGCTTTGTGAGTGCATCAGTGCCTGGACCTCTGATTCCCTGGTAGCAGTCGTCCTGTATTTCTTCATGTGCCTTGGCTGTGTAGGCTGCGAAGGCGGACGTCCTGCGCGACAGCGTAATTGTTTGTGCGACAATCTCCGTTTGCGGCTCAAACGACTTGACGTCGCTTGCAGATTGTTTCGACACGGTGGTTGTAGACGAGGCCTCTCAGGTGGGACTCCACAAGCAGTGAGCCCGCTGTTCACTTCGGCTTCTTTGGCTTGGCGTCCCTTGAGTCTGCCTGACGGCAGATGCTTTTTGAGTGTATTTCACCTGCTACAGCGAAACTGACTGGTGTCTACTCTGCGTTTGCAGGCTGTTGAACTGGCGACACTTATCCCACTCAGACTTGGGTGCAGAAGGCTCATTCTTGTCGGTGACCCAAAACAACTGCCCGCCACCATTTTCTCGAGGGTCGCCATTCAGCTGGTGAGGTTCTAAACTTCTGACTACTATTTTACTGCATAGAATAACTGGTTGTAACGATTTAACGTCCCCAAAACTTTGGCGTCTTGTGGGGCCTGTGAGCGCACAAGCTGCCTTTTGACGTGCGGTTATCATCATTAGACGCAACAGGAGTTCTGTTTTCACTTGGGCTTTTTCCACTCTCCACAGCGCTATGATCGATCACTGTTTCAACGTCTGGAAGGGGCGGGCCAGCCAACCAATATGCTGAGCCAGCAGTACCGCATGCATCCAGCGATCTCCCGCTTTGCTTCGGTTTCCTTCTACGAAGGACTCTTGAAGGATGCTCCTCACTTACCCAATGGCCTTTGGACCCCCTTTCCTTTCTGGCACCGATTGCCAATCCTCCAGCCTCTTGTTTTCTTCAACCTCGACAGCGATCACACAGTAAGCCGCTTGAATTACCATTCAGCAAAATTGTTGGCGCGTAGGTTATTACAACTTCATTTCGTGACGACGCAACTTGTTACATGTGGGATTTGCAGGAGGAGCATACATCTTTTGTCAACTACACAGAGGCAGATTTCGTGCGGCAGCTTGTTGATTTTTTGCGCCGACTGGTAAGGTCATAGGCCCTTCGCCTTCAGCTGTGAATTTTCGTCTCTGTCTGTTGGTTTCCTCCCTGTGCTGAGCTGTGGCGGCGTGAACAACTTCTATTTAGCTCTTTTCAAGGTTTTCTTTCTTGTGCAGTTTATAGCCTCTGGCCACGCCAAATGGGAGCACCGGCTGGCGGTGATCAGCCCGTATGCTCAACAGGTTGTCCTACTGCGCCGAACAATCAAAGCTTTGCTTGGAGTGTCTGAAGGGAAATCCTGCCCAGTAGATGTGAACACTGTAGACGGCTTCCAGGTAGAAACCAGGCTGCCCTCTCCAAGCGAGCTTGCCCCTTGCCCTGCTCATTAATGTCTTCATAGCACCTAAGCAGCATTCTCGTGAGATCCACGGTATTCAGCTTTGGCCATTCGCTGAATGAAACTTGCGTGCTAAGTGGATTTCAAAGAGCTCATAATACACTCCGTTTGATCGTTTGATCTGGCAGAGGGTTGAGGGAGCATTTAAGTTTCTTCATGACTTACGTACTTACGTGGTTGACAGGGCCAAGAAAAAGACTTCATAATTTTCTCAGCCGTTCGCGGAATTCGTAGTGACAGGGAGGAGGCGAAAAAAGGTACCGTTGGCTTTCTGGGAGACATGCGACGCCTGAACGTGGCCGTGACGAGAGGTCGTGTGAATCTTTGGATGGTTGGCAATGGCTGCTTCTTAAGAAGAGATAAGACGTGGGCTAGGCTGTATGCGTATGCTAAAGACCGTCATGCGCTTATATCTATTAGTCGCCGCAATGCGCAACACTCTGCTATCCTCACTAGATGGGTCCTCAAGTACTGCAAGACGCATCATGTAAGCGCAACATACCCGCGGTAGATTGGAAAGAGAATGTGTGAGGTGTCGCCATGCTTTGTATTATATGCATTTATCTAGCATTCGAAATGAAAAACGTTGGAGCCTTCACCGCGATCCCAGTTAGGTCGTACTGCTGGAGGAACTTGGCAACCTGTGTTCGTGTATTGTTTTACGAATTCAGCGAGATAGGAAGTTGCTTGAGGAGCACGCGCCTAAATTCTTAGCGGAACTGTCAGAGAGTTTGAAGGCAATGAGGGAACGGAAACAGAAACGAGGGGGCAAGGAAGAGGAGGAGCCGGCCGACGAGCTACAAACGGAAGGGTAGGCGTAAGGACAGCCATATTCCCCATTATTTCAAGCCATTGTCTCAGAGAACGCCTTTTATTTTTGTGTGAAATTGGTGGTCTTTGTTATTTGCAGTCCTATCAGTTGGGAGCAGCCCGTCGATGACCCTGATGCCGAAGAAGGCGCTGCAGTAACTGGGGAGATGACAACCTTCCATGATGTTGCAGATGAAGGCTGTCTTGACGAAGTTGCTGTGCACATGTAGGGTGTCTCCTGCACAATAAAACCCTCGACAGGATTTCGGCTGTATGAGCGTTTGAGCGCTCTTGACAAGATCAAGCGCTGCTAAATGCAGCGTTTCCGTTGTTGCTTATGAGGGGCTTCGGAGCATGTAGAACGCCTTGCGTCCGCAGCCAATAAGAGAACTGCGATTTCAGGCTATTTTGCTCCTTCCTCTCATTTTGTGCTCTGCAGGCGCGATGAGACCCTCAAGACAGCCGTAGACGCGGAAGCGCAACAGAATCCGGTACAAACAGAATCAAGCGCGAATCTGGCAGAGGCTAACACTGCTCAAGATTGAGGCTGGGCGGCTTCGTAAGAGGCCGAAGTACCGAACAGCTCTTGGAACATCGCTGCACAATGATATCCGTGAACAACAATAGCTTGTCATACTACTGACAAAGGAGAGACAGAAAGGGATGGCTTTGATTATCACAAGCGCCATTCGGCAGCTGCTGTTTACGCTTGACGGCGATTTAAGCGTAATATGTGTGCCTTCTCAGTGACTCGCTTGTGCTTGAGATGGCCTTTTCTGCAGCAAGTTGCCATCCTGGTTCCCTCTGTGTCATTGTCAGTTTTGAGTTGATTCTTGCCCAACTCCTTAACTGTCATATCAAAGGCAAGCTGATGTGGCGTTGCCGACGTGTTGCGAAATTGTATTCATTGATGGACTAGCGTGGTAGGGCTTGTTTTTTCGTGTTGAAGACTATTCGCAGTTGTCGAATTTCTTGTGCGTGAAGTATTGTTTTGAGCGCATGCGTAGCGTCAATTTCCGGTATGGTAAACTAACGGAAGAAGTACGAGATCTTTCCAGTGCGTCACGCAAAAGGCGAGCTTACATGGAATCACATACAATACATCTGCAACTCTTTCGTTACGGCGGTTCCTTGTATGCTAAGCACGTGGCGTATGCCGCCGTAGAACTGCACTGTATGCTGCTAACAATAATGAGACAAAATTTCAACGGTGAGGCCATAGCTTTCGGCTTGTATCTAACTTTTGACACTACGCGGTTACATAGATTTCGTAGCCATGTCAGGCTGGCAGACAACAAGTACGCACAGAACAAATCCAGTGCTGATGAACCTACAAGCAAGCGAACAGAAGGCAAAGCAAACAAACGAAAACATCACTTGCGTAAAAGAACACGGAATGGTATTACTGCGCATCAAACGAAAAATGCAAGAGGAGACATGACGGCCTGCGCGAGCTGGGCTGCGAAAAGCCCAAGGCTACACTCCCCAGAGGCTTGAGGATTTATTGATACGTTCGATTTAGTTTCATGGTGCTCAGATGTTTTGTACAATTGATATGAATTGAGTGTCCTACTGATTCAAGACGGTGGGCAACACCCTAAGATGTTTTGGATGGATGCCGTAGTGGGAATCGATGAATAAGATCTGCTCTCATCCCTCGTGCTCTCATCCCTCCGGCGGGAGTGGAACAAGCTCTTATTCGGTCCCCCACAGGTAAGTTCATGCTTCGCTTTAATCGCTAGGAAGTACAGCAGTAGCTCTAAACTCCCAACTGGCATTTAGAAGCAAAGCACCGTGTTTCGACTGAATGCCAGCAAAACAGTAGTGCAGTGAGAGGGGAGCACACTCACTACCTATATCTAATACAACGCTCTAAACGCACAGAGCACTCGGCTTGAAAAGGAGCCGTGAACCAGTGCAGACCTTCAGTCTGGCGGAACAGAGACAGCATTCGGTTTGGAAAGAAACCTTGAACTAGCACAGACCTTCAGGCTCACAGCTGCGACTCTCAAGACTACGCCAACTATGTTTAAACGTGCTTTCTTTTGTTTCAGGGGGTCCTGCTGTATTTATCATTGAAGTAATGTTGCAGGTGTAAGTGTGCGTTTGCGCCTGCAAAGCAGCTTCAATGATAAATAGAGCAGCATCCAACACAAGTGAAGGTTTGGAACTCTTTGGCTTTTCTTTTAATGGTGATTGTCCCCGAAGCTGTGTTTTACAGTTTCTGCTTCGCCTTTACTGCACAGTCCTGCTCCTTGAACCCCATGAAGCCGTAGCCAGCAACTGCGGCTTTGCCAGGTGGCTTTAGCTACTGAGAGCACTTTACTACTTCGCGAGTCAACGCACTCGCATGAGAGACCAGAACGGAGTGGCGTGATCACTGTGGTGTTGTTCTAATTTACACAAGCACCATTGCGCTAGGTAACATAGTTAGCTTCTCTGTCTATCAAGTTTTCCATAGAAAAATGCGACAGCAAAAAGTATGACACAAAGAGCGTCTACCACATTGGTTGTTTCCATGAGCTATGCCTCATCTTCCTACAGTTACAGTCACGAAACTTCCTGAACGCTCGGTATCCATGGAGAGCGACATAACGACATGGTGAGACATTTTACGGGATATTTTCGCCCAATTCTCAGCGTAAATATCTCCAAGAGGACGAAAGTTTCAGTCATAATAAAGTGGCTGGCCTTCGCCAGTACCGCATCATTCTACCCAAGGTCGCAGCAGCGCAGGGCACCATGCCAGGCTTGAGGCCACGTAGCCGAGGCCTATTCTCCTCTGAACAGCGTGAAGCATACACTCTCCCTTTGTTCAGTTTTGGTCATTTCTTTGTAATAAGGTGCATTTTTCCAAACTAACCAGGTACTACCTGCCCTTCCAACAATCGTTCCTGTGTGGAACAAAAGTGGACTCTTCTGGTTGCGCACAGCTTGACGGTGACAGCGTAACATTTGCTCCGCTTCTTCTTTTCTCCTCCTGTTTGTAATACTCCTCTACAAAGCAGTCTGTATAAGGTATTTCTCGGGTCATTGCTTCTTGGTAACAAAGGGTTGACGCCTGGAAAGGGCATACAGGTGCTACCACAGCCACGAGCGGACCATCGGCTTCAGTCACCTCAGGCGTTTAAATCTCGTGCTCACGCCAGGCAGTCGAGGAAGAGTGGCTGACATCTGTGGCCAGAAACAAGTTTTTTTGGTCTAGTGCAGGGGAAGCTGCCTAGCCTTGACACCCTCGTTGGAAAAAGTAGAGCCGCAGCTCCACAATCGAACTGCAAGGATGGAGCGAAAAGGAAAACAAACCCCACCGCTCAATCTTCCCCTCTCGGGGAAGAAAGATGTACAAGTATCCCCGAGATATTACGAGCCCGGCAGCTCCCACCGCCACTCGGTGGCTAGTACTGGCGTAGGTGATTCATACAGCCCTCTATTTCGGTCGCCTGAACTCACCTACAGATCGTCGGCGTTGCCTTCTCCCAAGGCGGTCCAGTCTAGAGTGCCGCCTCTCCCTCCTTCTAAGGGCGCTCGCCAGCATGTTCCCCGTCGAGACGTTCCTCGCCCCGCCGTTCTCGTGTCTTCTCCTTTCGAGGAGCTGCCGAGAGGGCAACTGATCACTCCAGAGATCATTAAGGCCAAACAGCGGGGAACATCTTTGCCTCCTTTGAAAGAGGCGCATCTCAACATGCTTGACGAATACATCAGTCGTACGTCTGCTGCTAGACCACGGCACTTGTGCAGCAGCAGCCTCTTCAGCATGACCAGCATTCCCTCAATGAATGCCATGCTTGAACAGTCACAATTCACACTTTGAGCAAATGTTGCTTTTTTCTTATTTCCAGTTGCTGTGACAGCCAACATTTAGTGCTTTCCATCTCAGAAACTACGCACAGTTGCCTCAAACACCAGCCTGTAATTGTTCTGCACTCCTTTTGGTTCGCAGCGGAGACTGCCAACTGGATAAACACAATTCCCCCGGAGGACATGCTGAGGCTTTCTGGCTCCACGGACCAAACGCACGTGAGCGCGTCATTTGAGCCTATGTGTGCAGCTGCCCATTGAGTGTTCTTTGCTTCTAAATGCATCAGTACAGCAGATTGTTGCATTGCAGTGCACTTTGAATGGCCCGTTTGAATGTGTTATCCTGAAAGACTGTCTTGTGCCACTGCGGCTGCGTTGATTTCACCTATCTGACCGAAAGCTTCCTTCTTTTACTGTGTTTTAAAGCTTTTTTGTGAGCTATTTCGTTATACAGGACCCGAGATTCACGGAAGAACCCGTACAGTATCATCTTGACCATCCATTCCCGCCTTCTGTCCTCAAGAAGTATCCCAACTACGCAGACTTTCCCCTTCTGTTGAACAAAGTCCATCGCCCCACCCTGAAGCCAAACTTTAGAGACCGACACGAAGTCGAACATCTTCGTGGACATAATGAAGCAATGCTAGAGAGCCACTGTGAGCCTGTTAGTTTAAGTTCAGCGAAGCTGTAGCACAACTGGAGGTACAGCTAGCTGCAGAGAGGGCATTTCACCATTTTGACGTGGAGAATGCATCTTACACCGAAGCTGTCACTTCTTTTTGAGTATTACCTATTATTGCTTTTTATTTTTTCTTCTCCTTGAGTATTACTTAAGACATTATGCTTATATTCTCGTGCGCTGCTGCGTAACAGGTGGCGAGAAGCCGCTGGACAGCCAAGTGGCCGTAAGGGAGGCATACATGCACGTGCCGAATTTCGGCCGCGTTCAAGTAGTGCTGACGGACTACCCAGATGGCACGAGCTACCCCCTTGTGACTCTTCCCAAGATGACCCCTCATGACATCCTGAAAGTGCTGGACATGCAGAAGGCGGCACAGCAGAGGTCGTGGGTGAACGTTTTCTTCAGCATTCTCCGCAAGATATCATGCGGCTTGTTTTAAGTCCGCTGTTGTTTAACTGGGACGCGTTTTCTTCTCGAGCATGCGTCAACACTACCCACTGTATCTCAAGGGAACAGATAACCCTCCGAGGCAGCAAGTGCCTCCCTCCACCCCATCTGGCGCGCCCAGTGGAGACGAAAGTCCTGCCCCATCGAATGGGCATAGAACAGCCAGTGGTTCTGGCTCTGGTTTATGGCCGCTTAGTAGATAAACGGCGAGCGGCCGCTGTAGCTCGGCCACGTGGTCCCTGAGGCATTTGGGAGGGAACAAGGGATCCCTCCCTGCGTTTTGATTTTTGTTGCTCTCTTCGATTCCCCCTTAGCTTGTAACGCTTCGTCGCTCGCGGCCTTGTTGCTAGTTCTGGGCAAAGGCGCCTTACTTGGGTTGCGAATGGCCCATAGGGATAATACCGGTCGGTGAAGTTTGTGGGGAGGATGGACAACTAGTGCAGCATTGATGGCACTGATTTCCGTGAAACATGGGCGTATTCATTTCTTACGTCAGGTAGAAGCATCCTTGCAAATAGCCGCCAAACAAAGGCTGTGCATGGCCAAGAGTACACTCTTGTGTTGACGGCTCAGTTGGACACAGTTTAACTGCACTACAGAAGTGTTGCCTTGGCAACAAGAAGTAGTTGTGAAACCGTAAACTGCAGCGTTAATTTGATGTGCACATATACTGCTTTGCATCTGCATTACGTGCTATCGAGAGCCTGTCGGGCTCCTGCTCTCCACGCGTTAGGTGGCGCCGGGAAGCAGTAAAAATTAATGTTCTGCGTTTGGCAAAGCTCGTCTATTTGGTGTCAGAGCACCGGAGGTGGCTCTGTCTCCATTCGCCGTGCCAAAATTTCAGGAAGTTTGACAGTGGACAGGCCTTGCTGCCCACAGGATTCAATGGTAGTTCTCTCGCCTTTGAGTACTCGTATATCGTTTATCCCAAAGAGCGGAACTTCGAGGAGTGCCAAAATTCGTGAATACTCAAGCCCGGTTTTTTTCAGAATTCTCAAGCAAGTAGCAGGCTACGCGCAGTTGCAGCACTACACTGCCACAAACTGTGAGTCCAAAGACTGGCAGAAGCACCTAACGACCGTACAGAGTGTAGCGTGTCCAGGAGCTGGCTAGGTGAGCTGTGGCCATGCCAAGGCAGATTTCATCTGGTGCGGCTCACAAAAATGAAATACAGAGATGTATAACGACCACAGGTAGAGTCTAACAACAGGAAGACTGCTCAATGCAGCTGCTGTGTGTTGCCGAGACACGTCAGAGGGGTAGGACCCCCGCAAATAAAGCCAGAATTCCACCTAAGGTTTCTTGAGGAAAGCTTATTTCTTCTAAAGTTACCTGTTTGTACAGTTTAGGTGGTTGGGGGCTACGCAGCCACAGACAGCCCCAGCGCTTCCAGCCCCGCAGCCGCCCACAAGGGTTGCAGCACTAGAGTGTTTTCTGCATAACCGAGGCATCAGTTCTCTCTCTACTGACCCATCATAGTAAAATTACCCCGCGGTTTGGTCGTGGGGAGCAAATTTGCGGACAAGTCCGGCAGAGGACGCCGAGAGTGGCTGCTGCACCCTCCCAACCCCCACCGCGTGGCTGCATTGGTAGGGCCGTCCGAGGGCGAAGTTTGGAGTTTAGACAGTTCGCAGGGGTTGGGCGTTTCAAGTTTGTTCGGGAAGTTGTGTCATGGGCAGTTGGAGGGGGCCTTAGAGTCCAGCTGCCGTCGGGTTTGTGTATGGGAGCGCTGAGCCGCAGCAGCTGCTGGGGAGCCGTTGGCGCGTGCAGCCTGCGCGCGGCCCGCAGGCCTTAAGGAACGCTGTGGCGAATCGCCGCTGCTTGGTGGCCGTAAAGAGCGCCTCGAGGCGGCTCGTGAATGCTCCCGGGGGCCCCGCTGCAGCTTTCTGAGAAGCTCCCCGACAAGTTGGAGAGAAGTAATTGCCACTTCCACGAAAAGAACTCAGCGAAGGCGCTGCGCTGGGCGCTGCCCGAGACCGCAGCGCTTACCAGGGGGCCGCTTGCGTCCGTTTGGCCTCGCGTGTGGGCGGGGCCCTTGCTGCGTAGGCGTGCGTCGCTGGGCGAGCTGCTGCTGCTGCTGCTGCTGCTGCAGAGGCTGCGCACTGGCGGAAAATGGGGGACCTGGACTTCGACACGGTGTTGAATTTGATGGAGAAGACGGAGAAGGAGGGCGCGAAGGCTTCGCCGCCCTCGGAGGCCTCGCCAGTGAGCAACGGGGCGCTGCGGGCGGCCAAGTCCGGCGGCGCCGCCCGCCGGGCCTCCCCAGACTCCCAGGGGGCCCCTGAAGGCCGCAGCCGGCGAGCGGGGCGGGAGCGAAGCCCCGAAGAAGGCCGCAGCAGACAGGGGGAGGGCAGCCCGGAGTCGCGGCGGGGGGGCCCCCGGGGGGAGAGCCCGGAGTCGCGGCGGGGGGGCCCCCGGGGGGAGAGCCCGGAGGGCCGTCGGGGGCGGGGCGAGAGCCCGGGGCCCCGGCGGGCGTCGCGGGGCGGCGGCAACGACAGAGAAAGCCCCGAGGCGCGCCGGGGGGGGCCCCGCGGGGACAGCTCCGAGGGGCGCAGGGGCCCCCGCGGGCAAAGCCCCGAGGCCCGGAGG